TACCCCAACACATGCAGGGTATCGATGCGCGCCCCAAAATTTAGGATCCAGCCAAAGCCCAGCTTGTATTTTCAATTTTCCAGGATGCATTGCACCAATTTCTGCCTTTGCAGCCAAGCTTGGCCATCCCATCCGGCCCATCCACTGTGGGAGTTCTGTCTTTATCCCCCCAAAAAGATGGACGTAAAGGGGAAGGAGGTATTGGGGGGGTTGGAGAAGAGGTTGGCCATCGCTCTCACCTGCAGATCGAGGGCCTTGGAGGAGAAGGCGGGCATGTGGCAGGAGAGTATGGGGCACCAGAAAGGAGCTTTGCTCTTCTTGTCTTCGTCGGGACAGAGCCAGCCCGGCTGGTTCTCCTCCCCTGCAGCGAGCAGAGGAGATCGAGGACAGCCGAGACACCCCCCGCCATCCCTCCCTTCCCCGATGGGACCCCAAAATTAGTCATTTGGGGTGCAGGGCTCTCATCTCCAACCCCAAACCACCATCATCTGCGGGCTTGGGGCACATCTCACCCCTTTCCTCCAAACCATTGCAGCACGCAGCCAAGCAACCACCACGAGCAGAGGCAAAAAAAAGCCCCAAAACACAAATAATATATATATGAAGGGGGGAAAAAAACCACCCTAATGTGTTTCTTCACATTAGGCTTTAATGTGTTTTCATTTCTAACTCGTGGATACAGGATTATCCCCCAGGCATCCCAGATTTAAAAAAAAAAAAAGAAAAAAAAAACCAATGCAAAAACACGCATATAAACTGTTAAAACAAGAGAATCAAAAATCCTTCCAGCCCGCAGGGATCCGAGCACTCAAATAGGATTTCAAATGATTATTTTTTTTTTCCCCATTAAACAACTTTTTTTTTTGCTGCAGCGGCTGGTGGATTTAAATAGGAACAGGGATAGGGAAGTGGCAAGAGGGGCGGCTCCTCCCTTGCTTATTCATCCCATTTCATGGAAAACGGGTCAGCCCCAACACCATCGGCGCAAGAGCCCATGGAAATCCACCACCACACGACGCCATCCCGGAGAGGCCACCCGAGAGCAGCAAAACACAAAGCATTTTGAGCCAGAATTACCCATTCCCATCATTTCCAGCGTGCAAACCCCCAAAGTGTTCTTCATCACCTTGCTCCGAATTTCTTCCCCTGCCCCGTTTCGTGTCGGGGTGCTCAGGGCAAAGCAAACCCCACTTCTGCTCCCAAACTTGGCTTTTCAAAGCAAGGGCGATGGCAAGCAACACGCCATGGGGCTACTCACGCAGTCCTATCTTGGCCAAGTGCAGGCGGTTCACCCAGGAGATCTTGCTCAGGGGGTTTGGAGTGATGAAGACCACCATGACGCTGATGGGGCGGCCAGACCTGCATAGGGAAAGCATCACCAGGTTGGTCTTCGGCCTCCTCCTCCTCCCCAGGGTGGGAAGAGCCCACCCATGATCTGCAAACTCACTTGTCCGGCTTCCCGGGCAGCAGGAGACGGAGGCGGCACTTGTTGGCGGAGTGGATCTCCTCCTCCTTCACCTTCATCATCCTCTGCAGGGCCAAGCACCAGTCCTGGGCCACCGTCATGTTCAGGTTCTGGGGGAAAATTCATAAATCATGGAAGTGCCTCCAAAACAAGCCTGAATCATCCCCAAATTTCATCCGTGGGGTGGATGAAGGTGGAGGATGAGGTGTCCAGCGGTCCCTGAGGAACCGCATGGTTATTGCAAAGCGCCCAAGCTTGGTTCTACCCAAATCATGAGTTTGACCATGCTTTGGTAGGTAGGTACCTGGTAGGTGCCATGCAAGGTGCTGATGAGAAGGGTGATCTGCTCCACCACCGCTAGGTCCTTCTGCAGGTCCTGCAGCTCCTGGAAGAGCCGCGGTGGCCCCAGGTAGACTTTATCTTGGGTGGAGAAATGGAGAAACGAGGTCCATGGAGGATGCTCCATCCCACCCCACCGAAACCAGCCCAACACCAGATAACGGGATGGGTGCTCACTGTGTGAAGCCTGCCCGGCCGGCACGTGCTTCTTGGCACCAGCGTTGTGGATGACGACGTTGTCCTTGTCGTAGGCGCCGCTCTCCTGCCCCACCTCCACCACCTGTACCTGTGGGAGGGCCGTGCTCCACTTCACCACGTATTTGGGACCCAGGGGCACCAGGCTGCTAATTTCCAGCTGGCCTCTGCCGAGGGAGGATGCAAAAAAATAAAAATACATGTAAATAAATCAGCAGGCGCCGCGGCTTGCCCTGCAAGCCCTTGCAAAATGCATGTTGCAAGCCGAGCCCCATTTGCAACCCCACGCCGTGCACCGGTGCATGCCTGCACCCCCAGACGTGGGGCACGCAACCACAGCAGACCACGCTCAGCACCTACCCTGGGTTCACTGGCCTGGAAGAGGGGGAAAAATGATTAATAAAGAGGTATTATGGGGAGCTCAAGGAGGGTTTTTCCCTTTGCAGCATCAACCTCCACCAAGCCCTGAGGTCACACCAGGCTCCCGGACCCCGCACCGGTTCCAGGACCTCACAGCACCAGGGGAATGGAGGCTTTGCGTGGAGGCATGCCGAAAGTGGGGGGGCCAGGCAAGCCCAGGCCTTGCGTGGAGGCATGCCGAAAGTGGGGGGGCAAGGCAATCCCAGACGAGGGAGGTTCCCCCTCCGAAACAAGGTAGGGTGGTTTTAAAAGCCTTTGGGGTAGAGCTAGCAAAACCCACTCAGCCCGAAAATTGAGGTGGGGAAGGTCACTACGGTGAAGCTTTGCAAAGTGATTTGGGGGTCTGGGGCTGCCGGCACATACTTGAAGTTGATGTTGGCGCAGACCAGCATGTCGTTGAGGAGGAAAACCTTCCGTTCCTTCGACTTGATGAGCTGCCCCCGGTCGCCGTACACCGTCTCTGTCAGCGTCTCGCAGAGCAGGAGCTGCCGCTGCCCCGAGCTCAGCAGCTGCGGAGGGGATGGAGCAGGCAGCGGGGGCTCAGCTTGAGGGCTCTTGCAAACCTCCTGCCCCAAAATTTGGGTTGCTTTTCCCTTATTGCAAGGGGTTTCCTCCAGCCGGGAGCACGCACGGCCCCGAGCTCTGGAGAGACGGCCGTGCAACACGCTCTGAGGCTGCACGATGCAAAAACCCTTTGCACCCTGTATGTCCAACCACCAAGAGAGCAGAGCCCTGAAAGACCAACGTGGCCCTTTTGCAGCCCCTTTTGGGTCTCTTTTCATCCCCTGGCCCGAAACCCCGATTCCAGGGCTGAGCTGGCGGGTGCCCCACTGCGGTTTTTGCCGCCACGGCCATCCCCAGCCCAGGATGTGTTGCAAGAGCTTCATTTAGGGGTTTGGGGGTTTTTTTTTCCACCACCGATTGCAAAATCAGGCAGATGAGACAGCAGCTCATCCTTGCTTTTCCCTGGAGGGGAATTTCCCCGTGCCAGCCTCGAGATTTGCTTTTGCTCAACGTCCTTTCAGAGAAAACACAGATCCTGTTTTCCCGAACCCCCCGACGTGGAGAGGAAGGTGGAAGCCACAAAGCTCAACCAGCAGCTCCAAAACCCACCCATCATGAGGATGAGGAGGTGAGGCTGAAGGACCCACCTTGTTGAGGCTGCTGCGGTCACTGATGCTCTTGCTGAGCTGCTGGATTTCGGCGACTTGGTCGGCCAAGCGCTTCTGCTCGTTGAGCTTCTCTGCCAACGTCTCCAGCTCGGTGAGGGCCAGCTGGAGGGACAGGCGGTCCGCATGGCCCTTGGGGGTGTTTTTCAGCATGTCCTGGGGTGGGGGAAAGGATGGGGGACAAAAGCCACCCCAGAAAAATTGGTCCCGTTGGGGATGCTACAATTGGAAGCGCTTTTCAGCGCCTCCGAAACCAAAGCTTGGAAGATGATCCTGGGGAAAGCCCCCAAAGCTGCACTCAAACTGCCAACCCAAAAACGCGTCCCTTGCTAAACCCTTTCCCGCAGCACCCAGGCTGCAAAAGATAGGGTGCAAAGCAAGGTGGGTGCTGGTAGCCCTCGCCCGTACCTGCAGGAGCAGGATGAACTGGGGGAACCTCTGGATGGGCTTCACCATCAGCCCGTAGAGCGTGACCCGGTCGGCGCTCGCCATCTGTCTCTTCTACGGGGGGGGGGGAAAAAAAAGCAAAAAAAGAGGAGTTTTCACCCATAATGGTGACCGGCAGCACCACGCGCCCACGTTTGGGTCCTGCTGACCTTGAGGAAGTCGAGGAAGGCAGGTTTGGTGAGACAAGCCTTCTTGATAAGGGACATGGCAGTGGTGAAGTTGTTGACGTAGTCGCTGTAGACGTCCAGCACCATCGACTTGGAGAACTGGGGAGAGGGCAGGAGGAGAGCCGTGATGGCGCGGGGCTCCCCTAAAAAGGGGGGTCGGCAAAGCATGGGGGTTCTCGTGTATTTTTGGAGTGATGCTGAGGATGCTGGTGGTACCCCAGGTTGGGGCTGCATCACTTAAAT